AAACCCAAATGAATTAGCCTATGATATTAGTTGGTGCACATAAAGATATATACTGAACATGCAAAGTGTTGGTCCCATGTTTCATGAGCGGAAATAAAAGATCCCAGAAATGTCCCATATCCACAAAAAGCTTATTTCTCTCAAATGTTGTGCACATATTTGTTTACATCCCTTTTAGTGAGCATTTATCCTTTGCCAACATAATCCATCCACCTGACAGGTGTGGCATATCAAGAAGCTGATTAAACAGCATGATCATTACACAGGTGCACCTTGTGCTGGGGACAATAAAAGACTACTCTAAAATGTTACTTTTTGTCACACAACACAATCCCACAGATGTCTCAAGTTTTGAGGGAATGTGCAATTGACATGCTAACTATAGGAATGTCCACTAGAGCTTTTTCCAGAGAATTGAATGTTCATTTCTCTACCATAAGCCGCCTCCAAGGTCATTTTAGAGAATTTGGCAGTATGTCCAACTGGCCTCACAACCACAGACCATGTGTAACCACGCAAGCGCAGGACCTCCACATCCGGCTTCTTCACCTGCAGGATCGTCTGAGACCAGCCACCTGGACTGCTGATGAAGCTGAGAAGTATTTCTGTCTGTAATAAATCCCTTTTTGTGGGGAAAAACTCATTCTGACTGGCTGGTCTCACCCATGGCTGCGCCCCTGCCCAGTCATGTGAAATCCATATATTAGGGCTTAATGAATTTATTTCAATTGACTGATGGCCTTATATCAAATCAAATCAAATTGTATTTGTCACATGCGCCGAATACAACAGGTGTAGACCTTACCGTGAAATGCTTACTTACAAGCCCTTAATCAACAATGAAGTTCAAGAAATAGAGTTAAGAAAATATTTACTAAATAAACTAAAGTAAAAAATAAAATAAAAAGTAACAAAATAAAATAACAATAATGAGGCTACAGTGAGGGAAAAATGTATTTGATCCCATTTTAGTCATTTAGCAGACGCTCTTATCCAGAGCGACTTACAGTTAGTGAGTGCATACATTTTTCATACTGCCCCCCCGTGGGAAACGAACCCACAACCCTGGCGTTGCAAGCGCCATGCTCTACCAACTGAGCTACAGGGATTTTGTACGTTTGCCCACTGACAAAGAAATTATCAGTCTATAATTTTAATGGTAGGTTTATTTGAACAGTGAGAGACAGAATAACAACAAAAAAATCCAGAAAAACGCATGTCAAAAATGTTATGAATTCATTTGCATTTTAATGAGGGAAATAAGTATTTGACCCCTCTGCAAAACATTACTTAGTACTTGGTGGCAAAACCCTTGTTGGCAATCACAGAGGTCAGACGTTTCTTGTAGTTGGCCACCAGGTTTGCACACATCTCAGGAGGGATTTTGTCCCACTCCTCTTTGCAGACCTTCTCCAAGTCATTAAGGTTTCGAGGCTGACGTTTGGCAACTCAAACCTTCAGCTCCCTCCACAGATTTTCTATGGGATTAAGGTCTGGAGGCTGGCTAGGCCACTCTTGAGCCACTCCTTTGTTGCCTTGGCCGTGTGTTTTGGGTCATTGTCATGCTGGAATACCCATCCACGACCCATTTTCAATGCCCTGGCTGAGGGAAGGAGGTTCTCACCCAAGATTTGACGGTACATGGCCCCGTCCATCGTCCCTTTGATGCGGTGAAGTTGTCCTGTCTCCTTAGCAGAAAAACACCCCCAAAGCATAATGTTTCCACCTCCATGTTTGACGGTGGGGATGGTGTTATTGGGGTCATAGGCAGCATTCCTCCTCCTCCAAACACGGCGAGTTGAGTTGATGCCAAAGAGCTCGATTTTGGTCTCATCTGACCACAACACTTTCACCCAGTTCTCCTCTGAATCATTCAGATGTTCATTGGCAAACTTCAGACGGCCCTGTATATGTGCTTTCTTGAGCAGGGGGACCTTGCGGGCGCTGCAGGATTTCAGTCCTTCACGGCGTAGTGTGTTACCAATTGTTTTCTTGGTGACTATGGTCCCAGCTCCCTTGAGATCATTGACAAGATCCTCCCGTGTAGTTCTGGGCTGATTCCTCACCGTTCTCATGATCATTGCAACTCCACAAGGTGAGATCTTGCATGGAGGCCCAGGCCGAGGGAGATTGACAGTTCTTTTGTGTTTCTTCCATTTGCGAATAATCGCACCAACTGTAGTCACCTTCTCACCAAGCTGCTTGGCGATGGTCTTGTAGCCCATTCCAGCCTTGTGTAGTGTGCTCCTAATCTCAGCTCGTTACCTGTATAAAAGACACCTGGGAGCCAGAAATCTTTCTGATTGAGAGGGGGTCAAATACTTATTTCCCTCATTAAAATGCAAATCAATTTATAACATTTTTGACATGCGTTTTTCTGGATTTTTGTTGTTGTTATTCTGTCTCTCACTGTTCAAATAAACCTAGCATTAAAATTATAGACTGATCATTTCTTTGTCAGTGGGCAAACGTACAAAACCAGCAGGGGATCAAATACTTGTTTCCCTCACTGTATATATATAAAACATGAGGGATTGGAAGTGATGCAGACAATTACATTGATGGAAGTTATAATCTATCTGCAATATTAAGCTGATCTACCCCCTGAAAAAAAAATAAAAAAAATAATGTGGCTGTTGAGCAAGTAGAGGAGACTAAACCCCATATGTAACTCTGTGTTGTTGTTTTTATCGCACTGCTTTGCTTTATCTTGGCCAGGTCGCAGTTGTAAATGAGAACTTGTTCTCAACTGGCTTACCTGGTTAAATAAAGGTTAAATAAAAAATAAAAAATAAAAATAAATAAAAACGTATTGGTGTTACCTTAGAAGGTAAACTGTCATGGTCAAATCATATTGATTATATTGTTGTAAAGATGGGTGGTCCTCAGTAGCTCAATTGGTAGATCATGGCGCTTGTAACGCCAGAGTAGTGGGTTCGATCCCCGGGACCACCCATATGTAAAAATGAATGCACACATGACTGTAAGTCGCTTTGGATAAAAGTGTCTGCTAAATGGCATATTATATGGGGAGAAGTATGTCTGTGATAAAGATGTTCTCTGCTTTTTTAACACCACATTCGACCAAACAAGTCCTGCAGGCTCTGGTTTTATCACATCTTGACTATTGCCGTAGGAAAATGACGTAGGAAAGCTGCAGCTGGCCCAGAACAGAGCTGCATGCCTTGCCCCTCACTGTACACAGAGGGCTAATATCAACATGATGCATTCATTTCTCTTGGCTCAAAGTAGAGGAAAGATTGACTGCGTCACTTCTTGTTTGTTTGAGAAATATTACTTTGTTGAAAATAAAGAATTGTCTGTACAATCAAATAACATACAGTTCTGACAGACATACTTACCCCACCAGACATACCACCAGGGGTCTCTTCACAGTCCCCAAGTCCAAAACAAATTAAAGGCAACGAACAGTATTGTATAGAGACATGGAACTCCCTTCCATCTAAAATTACCCAAGCAAACAGTAAAATTAGCTTTAAAAAACAAATACATCACTGCACAAGGCCTCTCCCCTATCTGACCTAAATATAACTTGTATGTAAACTGATGTACTGTATGTATGCAAGCATGAAATTGATAGATGTGTCTGAATGTGGGCCTATAGTATAGGTCTCCGTTTTCTTCGTTTTTTGTCAGTATAGCACTTTTCTATATTCTTATTTTAAATGTACTTCTGTCATTGAGCTGTTCTTGTCTTTTATTGTTCTGTATAATGTCATGTTTTATGTTTTGTGTGCAACCCAGGAAGAGTAGCTGCTGCTTTTGCAACAGCTAATGGGATCCTAATAAAATAACTAAATACAAATAAAGAGTAATACTTTTCTCCATACAAATGCAATAAAGGCCAATCACAGATAGTGAAAATGAAATTATATAATGGTCTTTAAAGTAAATAAATAAATTACTGATGTTGAAATGTATTTATTGCAAGTGTTTTACAATAGATGCATGGATACATTACATACAGTGTAAAGCTACATACAATGCATATATGAGAATAACATAAAATGTCTGGAGACAAGCTACAGTATCAGTTATGTAGATTCAAAGTGCACAGTGATTTGGCCAGCATTTCCATGTTGAAACATTCTCTAGGTAGGATAATCTTTGACAAAATGTGAATGTTTGGCAAATGCAGACATGAGGAGTTAAAGCCTGGATTTTAACTAATTCTAAATTCTTAGACATTCAAATTGGGAATCAACTTTTTGGGGGAATTGACTGCCCCAAATAGTAGAAGGCACAACATACAAAGTGTACACTATAGACAGTATATATATATATATATATGGTAATGACAGGAGCTTGATATAACCTTCCAGTTCTATTCAGTTACGACTAAAATGCAAATGTTAACCAAACATTTATTTAGGAAAATCTGTACATGTGTACGTGCATTGTAATTAAACAAAAATATATTGGTATCAATCATGATCAACAACATAGAGAGAAACGTATTAACACCTATTGCTATTATTACCTGTGAAGCATTATAACATTTATACAGAATAATTTTTATAAAAGATAATCTACTGTAAAGAGACCATTATGGCATGCAGATTACAGTAGATATTGCTTTGAACAAAATATCTTAACTATCATTTCATAGAATGTCCAACTCTATTTGATGTGAACAGTTATTTTCCTATATTGATATGCATGAACTAAAGGATTTTATAACATTCAATAGAAAACAGTTCAGTAGATGCACATGCTTTTCACATAATCTGAAGTTACTTATATTTGTATTTGTACTATATCTGCAATGGCACCTCCCATTATATTTCCCATATAGCAGAAATGAATAGTAGTACTAGTTAGTAGTGATGTTGCATAGTGATTTAACCTGTATTAATTATGGTGATATGTTCTGTTTTCATTTATTCAATCAGAGACATCAGAAGATATCATGCATTTCCTGTTGATTAGTACTCTCTTCAAAAAAAATTTTTTTGCCAATCTAACAGGCATTTAGTTGCATGGCTTAGATGGCTTCTCCACAAGAACAGCACAAGCTAATGAATGGTCTCACACTGTAGATTCGCCTGGATTGGTCTATTTAGCACTGAGATCCACTATTAGGTGCTGGTAGGCTAGGGTGTTGCCTTTGAAGCTGGCTGCCAGCAGGATGTCTTTGTTGTCCACAGACACCAAGTTGAAGGCCCGGGGTGCTCTCATGTTGAGCTCCTGGAAGGGCTGGAAGAGCTGGGTGAGGTCATCCCACAGGTAAACTCGAGAGAAAGAGAAATCACTCCCTAGGAGGAGATACTGGCGGGGGCCCACAGTGAATGGATACACAGCCATGGAGCCACGTGAGGGCAGGGTCTGAATCTCAACATAGCGCTGCCCCTCCCAGCGGAGAATCTTGGAGTCACCAATGAAGCGTGTAAGGCAGAGGTAGAGAATGTTGCGCACCCAGAAATGCTTGACCATCTGAATGTCGAAAGTCTCAGTGATTTGGGAATGAAAGGCAAACTGGCGCAGGCTGCGGTTCCACTGGTAAACCACTGGGGGCTGGGAGGCACTGGAGAGAATGAGACGCTGCTTCCCCTCCACATCTAGGAACTCCACATGGGTGTCACGATGCCAGGGATGAAGGGATTGGTGAGAGTAGAAACCGTTGCTGTTCCAGCGGTATATGCTTGTAGAGCCTGCCTTGGAACTGTCTGCCACTGCAAAGTACCACTCATCATCCAGCTGGAAGGTCTCAACAAAGTTTGGTTTCCTCACACGTGTGGTGTCAATGTCCTGGATCTTCACAAATCGCTGTGGGTCCTCTTCCCACCTGAAAAGAAGGTGTCAATCAGGTCAGCCATCCCTAAATCATCATCATAAACATCTAATCTTAACACAGTTTTGGCACATTTCCAATGAGGATTTACCCCAGTGTTTTACCCAAAAGGTTCAGACTTTTCTGTTTCCATCTACGAAGGCCGGCACCCGTGTCTCACTGGGCCATGGCTCCGGCGGACCTGCTCTCACTTGGGGCCAAAGCAAGGCCACTGGTACATTTCAGCTGTCACTTACATATCAATGGATAACTGTGAACTTTAACACCTTCTCACAAAGCAACAGTCTTGAATGATGCAGAAGTTGTTGATTGTGCTCGTCACAACCAACTGGGCACACACTGGTTGAATCAATGCTGTTTCCACGTAATTTCAATGAAATTACGTTGAACCAACGTGGAATAGACGTTGAATTGACGTCTGTGCCCAGTGGGAAGTCTTAAGTGTCATACTCTGATGGAAACACAATTACACTAGAGCTACATTAACATAAAACACTAGTGACCCGCTGGTGTGGGGGTAAGTCTTAATGGAAAAGCACCAATGGCTATGAAAATTAACAAATCAATGACATTTTGCCTATGACAAAGAATTGGAATAAGTCTCACTTGTAGATGTGGGATCCTCCAAAAAGTTGAGCCACAACCATGTAAAGAGTGTTGTTTATCACCACAGGCTTGCAGTAGACAGCGGAGCGAGCTAGGAGAAACAAATATGCAGAAAGTAGCAGGTTTAGATGACTTCAGTCTCCTCTGTGTACTTAAAGATACAATGTAAAATATCTTGGTCTATAATTAAGTGATAACAGTTGAATGCATTGGTTGTCTTGTGGCATGATTTGTTATATTTAAAAGGCATAAGTCAAAGAAGAAACTTACATGTTATATTATGGTACCTCCGGAAGACCATTTCCACATGATCCCATACAAACAGTGTACAGAACCCTGTATCAGGCTGGGCGAAGGCCACAAACTGATTGTCATTGAATTCATAGGACTCCACTGACACAGACTGGAAAGGGAAAGTCTCATAAACTGCAAAGTCTACAGGGGAAGAGAGAGATGAGGATTATCAATCTATAAATTAATTGCCTTGCTGTCCTGTGAAATTAATTCATTTCAAAATGATTGGGGGCAAACCTGCGCTGATACAGTTGAAGTCTCGTGGGGTGAGATCATGGATTCTGCGGCCTTGGAACTCAAATGGGCTGGCACAGTAGATGGCAGGGACAGAGGTGTTGGTCTTCTCCATCCAGTCCACAAGCCACTTGATTTTACAATCACAGCGTAAAGAGTTACCCCGCAGGTCTCTGGGTAACATATAGAACAATAGAATGACATAGTTCTTAGAAAACTGTCTGTTGTAAGGATTCGTGGAAGCGTATTTTAAATTACAGTGCTGAATAAAGTTGTAATAACGTGGTAATAGTACAGTAATAACGTTTATAGTTACTCGTTTCGAAAACATATCACAAGATGAAACCTATGATAAGGCTACCATGTTCCCTTTCAAAAAGATGTGTACTTACAAGTCTGTCAAAATATCAAGATATTTGAAGAGTTCTCGTGGAAGGAACTGCATGTTATTATTTGACAGAGAACTACAAGAGACGGGAGAAAATAATTTGAAAGAAAATGTATAATGTCATAACATGTCCATGCAATGCATAAATAGTATTCTTCCATTGATATTTACAGAGAAAAGGTCAGAAGGTGTACTCACAGGTGAGTCAAGGATTTAAGCCCTCTGAAGGTATGCTTTGACAGGGCTTGGATGTCATTGTTCTCTATAAATCTGATGGGCATACAGAGAGACAGGATCACTCAATATACTATATCACACATAGATAGTAGACTTCTGAAGAAAGCAATCATGATAATCAAGATCAAGATTCTTATAATAAAAAACATGCCTTGTGGTAGAACTGGGGGTCATTTGCCAATATAATTAAATCAAGATCATTTTAATACATTGCCATGTAAATCATGCACAGTACACAGCCTTCTTTTCCATATTCAGAGTGTGACATTTGTTTTATTGAACCTTTTCTCATAATTGTGTCTCTGTCTGTCCCTTATTTATTTATTTAATTCAAAAGCCTGTTACTAAGGGGAACATGTCCTGCAAACTTTGTGAGAGATTTCATTTAGCTGCCAGGGAATGCTTCCTGAATCTTAAGCAGCTATAATGGGAATGGACCTGGCTGCTGGCTGGACTGTCTGCAGTAAGAGCAGGACTAACCTTGAGGATAAGCCAATTGGTAAAGAAGAGAGGGGGAGGGAATCTAGGGACAGCCATTCACTGGCTGTGGTGCAAAGTGTTCAAAACAACCATTAATCATCCGCTCACATTCTTCTAATGAAGGTAATGTAGCATGTGTACGTCTTGGGTATACTTAAAATCGAGAATTGACTTATAGGTTAAATTGCCCTGTCATCAGATAGTTAGTAGGGTGCCTCTACATGGGTTCAGGAATAGATATACATTTTGTCTGAGCCCTGTATCAAAGTTCAGCTGTTTGGACTTGGAACTGAGCCACTAAGAGACCAAAATAATGTTACTGTGTAAATGTTAACTATCGAACAGGTTGTCGATAAGCCAAATATTATTGTCTAAAGTTACTCAACATGCGAACATAGCTCTGTGAACTACCTCTACTACACAAATGACAACCACAATTCATCTCTACAAAACAATGCACACATGAGAATTTCTCATAATATCACCAACATACTCATTAGCAAAAGAGAGGGGCTATTTCTGTGCTATAAACATCTCCTTATTTTAGGATGATGAATCTATCATTTTAGATGATGGTCAAAGATGACTACAAGTGACAATTGACTACAGGTGCATTCTCTGTCTTCATTCTGGATATGTGAGGCATCCCAGGGCTTACACAGTGTGAGCTCAGCCAGCCTGCAGTCTGTCTCCCATTTGGAGCAGCATTGGATATGAAGATATGAGTTCATTAGCATTCACAGTGAGGAGCCACCTCAGGTAGAGCTGGCTGGGTGATGCAGAGCCTTGGGGCTGGGCTGCAGCCAGAGCCATACAATCACTTTATGGAGCCTAATGCATTGCTTACATGGAAAGCAGCAAATGTGATGGCATCAGCAACTTAATATTTCCTGATGGCCAACTTCCCGTCAATTAACAAAATGGCATGCTAAGCTTTATCAGGCCCCACAAAGGCAGGAAGACTAGTCTCTATAGTAGGAGGAGGATCAATATTCAATGTTACTTAAGCGATCCTTGTCTAGCTGAGGACTGGACACCATAGGCATCTTTCAATGTACCACTCACTACCTCATCCTTTGGATAGAATGTTTGTTGAGCATATATCTGTGGTTGAACAAGGGCACAAAGTGGGACACTTACAGGTACTGCAGGTGTGACAGACCTGCAAAGGCATCATCAGCCACCACAGTGAAGGTATTGGAGTTCAGAAGACTGCAGAAAGGGAGAGAAAGAGAGTTGTTTATAATACACTGGAATGAAATCTGTTTCACTTTCCATTTAAAACGTTTGACTTTCCACAATGTCCAGAAAAATACTGCTGGTGAGGTTAGAAGACATGTTAATCAATACCGGTACTGTAAATATGTATTTATTTACACTTGATTGCAAATGGACACAAGTAGCATACAAAGCATATACTCCAGTAACAAATAAATCACTTGAATTAGTGTGGAGTGGACATAGGAAGAGCTATTCAATTTCAAGGCACCAATCAAGTATTCAATATACATAGTATGGGTCAGCTTTAATGTTGTCACACCCTGGCTCTGGGACTCTATATGTTGAGCCAGGGTGTGTTCTTTCTGTTGTGTTTATTTCTATGTTGGCCAGAGTGACTCCCAATCAGAGGCAACGAGTGTCAGCTGTCGTTGGTTGTCTCTGATTGGGAGCCATATTTAAACTGTCTGTTTTCCCTTTGGTGTTGTGGGTTCTTGTTCCGTGTTGGTCATTGTTACCGTGGACTTCACGAGTCGTTTCTTGTTTTGTTTATTGTTGTCTATTATCACTAAAGATAATAAAGTTTAAACATGTTCGTTCATCACGCTGCGCCTTGGTCTATTCCCTACGACGATCGTGACAGAAGAACCCACCATAAAAGGACCAAGCAGCGTGTCCAGGAGCAGGCAGACTGGACATGGGAGGAAGCGCCGGGAAAGGAGATGGAGAGGTTGGCGATGGCCCAGGTGGGCAAATCGTGGTCCTGGGAGGACATGCTCGGGGGCAAGGGACCTTGAGCTAGGATTAAGGCCCTGGCGAGAGAGGAGCAGCGGCGTCAGCAGTGTCATCGTCGGACGGACGAGAGGCAACCCCCAAAAAAATGTAGGGGGGGGCACACGGCATGGGCGGCTGGGCAGCAGGAGGCTGCCACAGGGCGATTTGGAGAGGAGGCCACCGGGTTAGGGGGGCCAGAAGGCAGGTTGGCGGAGCCTGGATGGAGAGCGGAACCAACTTCCCGTACTCAGGCATGGCAGCATGGGACGGGGCAGGTTCCGCGGTATGCGGAGCGGCGTACTGTGCCACGAGTGGTCCGGCATAGTCCTGTACGTCCTGTGCGAGCACCCCGCACGTGTCGTGCGAAGGGGGGTATGCAGCCAGGACGGAGTGTGCCGGCTCAACGCTCGTGGTCTCCAATGCCTCTCCGCGGTCCCGGATATCCTGCTCCAGTGTCACGTGCTGTTATGCCAGTACGGGTACACAGCCCTGTACGTCCTGTGCGGATGCCTCACACAGAGTGTGTGAGGGTAGGCATTCAGCCAGGACGGGTTGTGGCCGCTCTTCACTCCAGGTCTCCTATCCGTCTCCACAGCCCGGTTCGGCCTGTCCCTGCTCCACGCACCAAGCCTACGGTGTGCGTCGCCAGCCCGGTCCGGCCTGTCCCTGCTCCACGCACCAAGCCTACGGTGTGCGTCGCCAGCCCGGTCCGGCCTGTCCCTGCTCCTCGCACCAAGCCTACGGTGTGCGTCGCCAGCCCGGTCCGGCCTGTCCCTGCTCCACGCACCAAGCCTACGGTGTGCGTCGCCAGCCCGGTCCGGCCTGTCCCTGCTCCTCGCACCAAGCCTACGGTGTGCGTCGCCAGCCCGGTCCGGCCTGTCCCTGCTCCACGCACCAAGCCTACGGTGTGCGTCGCCAGCCCAGTCCGGCCTGTCCCTGCTCCACGCACCAAGCCTACGGTGTGCGTCGCCAGCCCGGTCCGGCCTGTCCCTACTCCACGCACCAAGCCAGGGGTGCGAATCGGCAGCCCGGTCCGGCCTGTTCCTACTCCACGCACCAAGCCAGTGGTGCGCATCGTCAGCCCGGTCCGGCCCGTTCCTGCTCCACGCACCAAGCCAGGGGTGCGCGTCGCCAGCCCGGCCCGGCCTGTTCCTGCTACTCGCACTAAGCCAGGGGTGCGAGTCGTCAGCCTGGTAAGGCCCGTTCCTCCTCCACGCACCAAGCCAGGGGTGCGCGTCGTCAGTCCAGCACAACCCGTGCCTGGGTCACCGGTGCCTGGTAAGGTACCGGTCAACTGCTCCACTACGGAGCTGAAGCTAACCGCTCCTGCTGCGTCCAGTTCAGCTCCAGCCAGCGGGGCCAGACTGGACCAGGGGCGCTATGGGGGGTTTATTGGAGGGTGGTGGGCAAGGCCGGAGCCAGAACCGCCGCCGAGGAGGAATGCCCACCCAGCCCTCCCCTGTTTTGTTCAAGTTGAGGCGCGGTCGCAGTCCGCGCCTTTAGGGGGGGGTACTGTCACACCCTGGCTCTGGGACTCTATATGTTGAGCCAGGGTGTGTTCTTTCTGTTGTGTTTATTTCTATGTTGGCCAGAGTGACTCCCAATCAGAGGCAACGAGTGTCAGCTGTCGTTGGTTGTCTCTGATTGGGAGCCATATTTAAACTGTCTGTTTTCCCTTTGGTGTTGTGGGTTCTTGTTCCGTGTTGGTCATTGTTACCGTGGACTTCACGAGTCGTTTCTTGTTTTGTTTATTGTTGTCTATTATCACTAAAGATAATAAAGTTTAAACATGTTCGTTCATCACGCTGCGCCTTGGTCTATTCCCTACGACGATCGTGACAAATGTAAACTGAAACCACAAAATCTTAAAACACACACACTCCATTGAATCTGCATAGACAGATAAGCCATTGTTTAAATAGAAAAGAACTGAAGGGAGTCAGTCATTGGCGATGACACTGATACAGAGCCACTTTACTCTCACTACTGCCATGTCACCACTGTTTTCAATAACAGTTTATTTCAAGAGAGATTTATAGTGATTGTATTGTCTAACAAAATGTTACTTCACAACTTGTATTTATTATCTAATTACAGTGCCTTCAGAAAGTATTCACACCCCATATTTAGTGTTACAGCCTGAATAAAAAAAATATTTACTGATCTACACACAATAACCCATAATTTCAAAGTGGAATTTAGTTTGCGGATTAATTTTTTACAATTAATAAACAATGCAAAGCTGAAATGTCTTGAGTCGATAAGTATTCAACCCCTTTGTTATAGCAAGCCTAAATAAGTTCAGGAGTAAAAATGTGTTTAACAAATTACATAATAAGTTGCATGGACTCATTCCGTGTTCAATAATAGTGGTTAACATGATTTTTGAATGACTACCCATCTCTGTACCCCACACATACAATTATCTGTAAGGTCCCTCAATCGAGTAGTACATTTCAAGCACAGATTCAACCACAAAGACCAGGGAGGTTTTTCAATGCCTCGCAAAGAAGGGTACTGATTGGTAAAAAAGCAGACACTGAACATCCCTTTGGGCACGGTGAAGTTATTAATTCTGCTTTGGATGGACACCCAGTCACTACAAAGATACAGGCCACAGGAGGTTGGTGGCACCTTAATTGGGGAGGACGGGCTCCTGGTAATGGCTGGAGAGGGATAGGTGGAATGGTATCAAAAACATCAAACACGTGGTTTCCATGTGTTTGATACCATTCCATTCGCTCCATTCCAGCCATTAATATGAGCCGTCCTCCCCTCAGCAGCCTCCACTGATAAAAGCGTCATTCTTAAATCAGTTTCCAGAGAGGAAGGAAACTGCTCAGGGATTTCACCATAAGGCCAATTGTGATTTTAAAACCATGAGGCCAATTGTGAGTTTAATGGTTGTGATATGAGATCAACAACATTGAATAAAAATATTCCAAAACATGCATCCTGTTAGCAACAAGGCACTTAAGTAATACTGCAAAACATGTTGGAAAGAAATACACTTTTTGTCCTGAATACAAAGTGTTATGTTTGGGGTAAATCCAACACAACACATCACTGAGTACCACTCTTCATATTTTCAAGCATGGTGGTGGTTGCATCATGTTTTGGGTATGCTTGTCATCGGCAAGGATTAAGGAGTTTTTTGGGGATTAAAATAAATGGAATACAGCTATAAGCACAGGCAAAATTCTAGAGAAAAACCTGCTTCAGTCTGCTTTCCAACAGACACTGGGAGATTAATTCCCCTTTCAGCAGGACAATAACCTAAAACACAAGGACAAATCTACACTGGAGTTGGTCTCCCGAGTGGCGCAATGGTCTAAGGCACTGCATCACAGTGCTAGCTGTGCCACTAGAGATCCTGGTTCGAATCCAGGCTCTGTCGTAGCTGGCCGCGACCGGGAGACCCATGGGGCGGCGCACAATTGGTCCAGGGTAGGGGAGGGAATGGCCGGCAGGGATGTAGCTCAGTTGGTAGAGCATGGTGTTTGCAACGCCAGGGTTGTGGGTTCGATTCCCACGGGGGGCCAGTATGAAAAAAAAATTATGTATGCACTCACTAACTAAGTCGCTCTGGATAAGAGCGTCTGCTAAATGACTAAAATGTAAATGTAAAATGAGTTGCTTACCACGACGACATTGAATGTTCCTGAGTGGACTAGTTACAGTTTTGACTTAAATTGGCTTGAAAATCTATGGCAAGACTTGAAAATGGCTTTCTAGCAATGATTAACAATCAACTTGACAGAGCTTGAACAATAAAAAATATACATTTTACAAAGGTGTGCAAAGCTCTAAGAGACTTACCAAAAAGACTCACAGCTGTAATCGCCACAGAATGTGCTTCTCAAAGTATTCTACAAGATATTTCTCTATATAATTTCCAATAAATATGCTAACATTTCTATAAAAGTGTTTTCACTTTGTCATTGTGTGATATTGTGGGTCGATGGGTGAGAAAAATTTTTTTTGTTTAATCGATTTTGAATACAGGCTGTAACACAACAAAAGGTGGAGTAAGTCAAGGAGTATGAATACTTTCTGAAGGCACTGTATATGTTTAGACCTCCATTTACAGTACATTTACATTTTAGTCATTTAGCAGACGCTCCTATCCAGAGCGACTTACAGTTAGTGAGTGCATACATTATTTTTCATACTGACCCCCCGTGGGAATCGAACCCACAACCCTGGCGTTGCAAACGCCATGCTCTACCAACTGAGCTACATCCCTGCCGGCCATTCCCTCCCCTACCCTGGACGACGCTGGGCCAATTGTGCGCCGCCCCATGGGTCTCCCGGTCGCGGCCGGCAACAACAGAGCCTGGATACGAACCAGGATCTCTAGTGGCACAGCTAGTGCCTTAGACAACAGGCGAGATTGGTTTAGCTGAATGTTTGTTGTTGTATAGAAGATGGTGTTTTGGAGAGAACATGTTTAGCATTTTCATTGACCCAAGCCACAGAAGTTAAGTTGAGACTGTTTGCTCTAATTCCGCTACATCAGACAGGAAGGGAGAGGATAGGATGATGGGACATGCATGAATACTTACAGGAACTGCAGCAGGTGCAGGTGGGAGAAGGCTCCCTCTGGGATCGTAGTGAAGGCTGCATTCACCATTGTCCTGAGAAGTACAGACAATCAACTTATCATCATTCAGGCTCTATCAACTAACATTGAGTCAATGTCATCATGCTTATCATATAAAATCCAACCCCCATTGTGCAGAAGGGCTTGTTGTTCTATGCTAAAAGTGTATGTTGCCAGTCAGCCACATACGTTTTCGTGAAGTCTGATATATTCATGAGAATAACATGTTTCTAAGCATAGCTTTTGGTGAAAAAATTTTTTCTGGTCACAGACATTTAGTTTTTGTACATTTGAAAGGGAGAAATAAGAATTGTTAGGGCCTGATGGATGTTGGTACTGCATCCCACCTAATCAATATGAGTGGACAGAGACTGCATGGGAATGTCCTCCCAAGTCCCCAGGCACAGTCAATCTATTGACAGAACTAAACATGCAGCATGGCATGTTTTACCAAGAGCTCATGTGGCTCAATCTGTCTTACTATTTGAACTTCAAGGAAGGCAAAATCTTTTGAAACTAGGACACAGTTTCTTTATTCACAGGTTCATGTATTCATCACTTTAAAACAAAGCTACCTCCACCTTGTAGTGCTTGTGCTCTTCAATTCTCCAAGCTCTTTAAATACAAGAACATGATGTTCAATTACAGAAAGATAATAAATTCAGTCAATATCGACCAAAATCAAAGTAAACAATATTCTCTTATAACTAAAATGTCACCATACTGAGTCCTATGCTACAGTATCTATCTATTACATTATTGTCGTTCCATTTACTGAGAGTGCGCACTGTTTATCTAACCTTTGTAAGGTTACTATCCCTTGGAGGACATGCATGTCTTTTGCTGTGAGATGTGAATCTATCGTAAGTGTCTCTCCCAGGAGGGCTAAGGCATGTCCCATTGCTCTACGTCTCATTTCTGCCAGCTCCCCCTGACTTCTGTCCAAGAATGAGGAGAGACTGAGGCACAGGGACACAAAGTGCCCACTTGTCATCTTTCATTAGCATGTCATAGCTGATCTATCCCTGTCCATCTATCCCTGTCCATCACAACACACAGGCCATGGTGAACCTGCTCCTTTCTTTCTCGTAAGGTCTCTTTAAAATCAGACACACGTTCTTGAGGAGCACAAACACTATCTTGCTCTCTTGATAATGGCATTTTCAGAGACACGGTACACTGTTGTTTTGAAAAGTTAACCGTGGTATAACTGAAAAGGGTACAAAACAAATTATCAATGTTTTATAGAGTATAAGTATAAGCTTTTGGAAACCAGACACAGTAGAATATATTGTAAACCCCCAAATGATCTTGTATAAAAGTGTAGCCTAATGTTTGCCTAATGTCATGTCAACAGGCTAGTCCATGAGAGATTATGTCATCTGTAAAAACCATGCATGACATCACAGATCATCCATCTAGTAAGTATTTATGTACATTATCAACAGCTGGTTTTATCATTTTGGAATGAAATGCAAGGAATAGACCAACAAGCAGAGAGAGTATACAGGAACAGACACACAGAGTGATCAATGTTGTACTCACAGGGAGATGATCCCAGGGGGAAAGCTCTTGGGGATAGCCTTGGTATCCACACAGAAGGCACTGTCTTTGGTGCAGGAGCAGGTGACAGGACAGCGGGGGATTTTGGGGACCCTCTTGGCCCCTGTCTCCCCCACCAGGCAGAGAAGCAGACATAGGCCGGCCAAAAACCTCAGCCATCCCGGGACCCTTCTCGATCTGGCATCCAGCATATTTCCTTTATGGATGGACAGGGACTAGTGACAAAGACTGCTGAACCTCAAGAAGTTGTGTTTTCTCTGGTTACCTTGTAGCAGCAGCAGCAGTAGTATTGATGATGCTGAGCTATCAAATGACTGTGAAGATTTGGAGAGCAGAGCAAAAGAGAGAGAGAAGCAGAGCAAAAGAGAGAGAGAGAAGCAGAGCCAGAGAGGGGGCATATTCACTGTGTGTGTGTGCTCAGCAGCTTCCCTGGATGTGTGTGTGTTCTCCCTAGAGCTGCGGTCAGAGCGCAGACTGCGGGAGCGAGGCTGCAATTCCCCACGTTAGGACCTGTACGCAGCGCCGCTGACTCTGAATTATTTACTATCTCACAGAAGCCTTAAAAATATGGCCAGGGAGGCAGCCAGGCAGGGGGAGGGGAGAGGAGGAACAAGGGCAGTGGCTGATGTCAGGCCTGGCAGGCTGGGAGGGAATGAAGGGTGAGGAGGCTCTGGCATCTTCACACTCTGCCGCAGACACTCACTGCCCGCTCTCTCTCGCAACTTGACAGTATACAGACACCAAAATCAGAAATAAGACTTTTGAAACAACACTTTATCAAGTTAGATTCTTATGTGAAAGTGTATTTGTATTGTAAAACATGTACTGTATATCACATGAATCAGCAATTGCCAGTTTGTTCAGATTTCAGATGGAGGCAGTAACAACATTTTGCTTCTTACTTTTTATTTACACGTAGGCCAATGGTGTGCAGATCTGGATGATGCGTCGGAGCATAAACTACCCATATTAGAACCTATAGAATTCCATTGAATCCATTAGAATCTGAAAATATGGAAAACCGAGTCGCATCCCCACACAGTGGAGCTGTTGGCCATATAATGGAGCTGTGTGGCTCCAGCAGCCAGTAGTTTGGTGGCAGCCATGAGAGGGGACAGAACAGGAGCAGAGCTGCAATGACAGGCACAGCCAGCTTTCCCACACAACAACACTGTTTTCATGAACAGATAGCAGCCAACTTTGAGTCTGCTGCGTACTGTCTACCATCATCATGTTGCCTAGGTCCCAACACGCTGCTCTGTTTCAGCCAGGCAATAGTAGAGGGACTCCATGTGGTGTTCAACAGTGCTCCATTCTATCCCATTTCCACTCCAGGGACAATTTAACTACAGGGCATCAATATTCAGAGTACATATCAGGAAACATTTACATTGGTAGGAAAAAGACGAGAACCACTGTCATGTCAACTAGCTACAACTGCAGCTAAACCAATGTGGTCTCAGGGCAATTCGTATTATTCTGTATGTAAATCTGTGACACTCCATTTAGTATGATATATTGCATGACGTTTGTTTACATTATGAATGCAATAGCGATCGTAAAAAATATACGAATTATAGGATGTAACTCATAATTTCCCTTTGACATATAGTATTATATGTCTTCTCTGAGACCAGGTTGCTTGTTGCGCTGCAACCACAAAGGAGAATAAAGGGGGGAATTTACATTGGCAGTTAGAGTAACTAAAACGACAAAGGTTAGGTGAAATTACGTAGCATGTTAGGTGAATTGGGCTAAATTTAGAATAAGGGGAAGGGTTAGCACCCATCCTCCCAGACCAACCTCCCTATTTTCATCTCTGTCTAAAGTAACTAGACCATTAGTAGGTGTCATGCGTAAAGTATGTTTCGTTTGGCTCTGAGGCCAGGTTGCAAAAACGGCGAACATTAACAGCTACTCTATCTTCGCATTCAATGGTATTGTTTGTATGTGTGTTCTTAATTACATCTTTACAAAAATATTTTTTTACCCCTTTAAAGTCTACCTGGAAGATTCATATACCTTTGAGTTGACGAAAAAGCACTCTGTCAAATCAAATTATATTTCCACATGCGCCGAATACAACAGGTGTAGACCTTACAGTGAAATGCTTACTTACAAGCCCTTAACCAACAATGCAGTTAAGAAAAAAGTAAAAAATAGATAAAGTATAAAATAAAAATGACAGATAATTAAAGAGCAGCAGTAAAATAAAATAACAGTAAGGAGGCTATATACAGGGGGTACCGGTACAGAGTCAATGTGCAGGGGCACTGGTTAGTCGAGGTAATTGAGGTAATATGTACGTGGGTAGAGTTAACGTGACTATGCATAAATAATAAACAGAGTAGCAGCAGCGTAAAAGAGGGGTTTGGGGTGGGGTGGGGTGGGGGGGCAATGCAAATAGTCTGGGTAGCCATGATTAGCAGTTCATGAGTCTTATGGCTTGGGGGTAGAAGCTGTTAAGAAGCCTTTTGGACCTAGACTTGGCACTCCGGTACCACTTGCCGTGCGGTAGCAGAGAGAACAGTCTATGACTAGGGTGGCTGGAGTCTTTGACAATTTTTAGGGCCTTCCTCTGACACCGCCTGGTATAGAGATCCTGGATGGCAGGAAGCTTGGCCCCAGTGATGTACTTTCAGTCACTACTGCCTCCCTGGCCCAGCCCTATATCTCATGTCATTTAGTATACATTGAGGGGAAAAAACATTAACACCTGCTCTTTCCATGACAGACTGGCCAGGTGAATTGAGGTGAAAGCTATGATCCCTTATTGATGTCACTTCCAAACTCTCCACCATGGCCAAGACCAAAGAGCTCTCCAAGGATGTCAGGGACAAGATTGTAGACCTACACAAGGCTGGAATAGGCTACAAGACCATCGCCAAGCAGCTTGGTGAGAAGGTGACAACAGTTGGTGCGATTATTTGCAAATGGAAGAAACACAAAAGAACTGTCAATCTCCCTCGGCCTGGGGCTCCATGCAAGATCTCACCTTGTGGAGTTCCAATGATCAAGAGAACGGTGAGGAACCAACCCAGAACTACACGGGAGGATCTTGTCAATGATCTCAAGGCAGCTGGGACCATAGTCACTAAGAGAACAATTGGTAACACACTACGCCGTGAAGGACTGAAATCCTGCAGCGCCCGCAAGGTCCCCCTGCTCAAGAAAGCACATATACAGGGCCGTCTGAAGTTTGCCAATGAACATCTGAATGATTCAGAGGAGAACTGGGTGAAAGTGTTGTGGTCAGATGAGACCAAAATCGAGCTCTTTGGCATCAACTCAACTCGCCGTGTTTGGAGGAGGAGGAATGCTGCCTATGACCCCAAGAACACCATCCCCACCGTCAAACATGGAGGTGGAAACATTATGCGTTGGGGGTGTTTTTCTGCTAAGGGGACAGGACAACTTCACCGCATCAAAGGGACGATGGACGGGGCCATGCACCGTCAAATCTTGGGTGAGAACCTCCTTCCCTCAACCAGGGCATTGAAAATGGGTCGTGGATGGGTATTCCAGCATGACAAAACACACAGCCAAGGCAACAAAGGAGTGGCTCAAGAAGAAGCACATTAAGGTCCTGGAGGGGCCTAGCCAGTCTCCAGACCTTAATCCCATAGAAAATCTGTGGAGGGAGCTGAAGGTTCGAGTTGCCAAACGTCAGGGTCGAAAACCTTAATGACTTTGGAGAAGATCTGCAAAGAGGAGTGGGACAAAATCCCTCCTGAGATGTGTGCAAACCTGGTGGCCAACCACAAGAAACGTCTGACCTCTGGGTTTAACAACAAGGGTTTTGCCACCAAGTACTAAGTCATGTTTTGCAGAAGGGTCAAATACTTATTTCCCTCATTCAAATGCAAATCAATTTATAACATTTTTGACATGCGTTTCTCTGGATTTTGTTGTTGTTATTCTATCTCTCACTGTTCAAATAAACCTACCATTAAAATTATAGACTGATCATGTCTATAATTGTGGTCCTCTGTAGCTCAGCTGGTAGAGCACGGCGCTTGTAACGCCAAGGTAGTGGGTTCGATCCCCGGGACCACCCATACACAAAAATGTATGCACGCATGACTGTAAGTCGCTTTGGATAAAAGCGTCTGCTAAATGGCTTATTATTATTATGTCTTTGTCAGTGGGCAAACGTACAAAATCAGCAGGGGATCACTTTTTACTTTTTTCCCTCACTGTAAGTGCCTTTGAACGAGGTATGATAGTAGGTGCCAGGCGCACCGGTTTGTGTCAACAACTGCAACACTGCTGGGTTTTTCACACTCAACAGTTCCCTGTGTGTATCAAGAGTGGTCCACCACCCAAAGGACATCCAGCCAACTTGACACAACTGTGGGAAGCATTGGCGTCAACATAGGCCAGCATCCCTGTGGAGCACTTTCGACACCTGGAGGGGGTGTAACACAGTTTATGCCTCCCGAGTGGCGCAGCAGTCTAAGGCACTGCATCGCAGTGCTAGAGGCGTCACTACAGATCCGGGTACGATCCCAGGTTGTGTTGCAGCCGACCGCGACTGGGAGACCCATGAGGCGGCACACAATTGTCCCAGCGTCGTCCGGGTTAGGGGAGGGTTTGGCCGGCCGGGATGTCCTTGTCCCATCGCGCTCTAGCTTACTCCTGTGGCGGGCCAGGCTCATGCACGCTGACACGGTCGCCAGTTGGAAGGGGTTTCCTCCGACACATTGGTGCAGCTGGCTACTGGGTTAAGCGAGCAGTGTGGCTTGGCAGGGTCGAGTTTCAGAGGACGCATGGCTCTCGACCTTCGCCTCTGAGTCCGTACGGGAGTTGCAGCGATGGGACAAGACTGGAACTACCAATTGGCTATCACGAAATTGGGGAGAAAAATATAATACAAAATAAAATAACAGTTTATGCTGTCTAAAGCCCTGTTTATACCTGGTGCTAACATGCATCATTTGTCCTGATCTTGTCCACATTCTGATTGTGCCAACATTTTTAGACAGGTGTAGACGATTAAAAAATGCATTGTGATCTGATCTTCCTGACCACCTCAGGATGTAATCAGGTACACATTGTGTCTGGATATCTTAAGTGTAGACGGATGTGGACAGTAAAACCATTTCCATTATAATTTTCCTGCCTTCTAAAATCATTGACAGGTGGCAACATGGATTTAAGGCATCAAAATATGTGTACAAAAAATATACAT